GGCCGCCATGCGAACCCTGCCACTGGGGCCGCCGGTAGAGTTCCCTATGGGGCCACGATCCTCGTGAGGGGTGTGCCGAAATGGCCCGAGGCCGCCATGCGAACCCTGCCACTGGGGCCTTCGGTGGAGTTCCCTATGGTGCCACGATCCTCGTGAGGGGTGTGCCGAAATGGCCCGAGGCCGTCATGCGAACCCTGCCACTGGGGTCTTCGGTGGAGTTCCCTATGGGGCCACGATCCTCGTGAGGGGTGTGCCGAAATGGCCCGAGGCCGCCATGCGAACCCTGCTACTGGCGCCTTCGGTGGAGCTCCCTATGTGGCCACGATCCTGGTGAGTGGTGTGCCGAAATGGCCCGAGGCCGTCATGCGAACCCTGCCACTGGCGCCTTCGATGGAGCTCCCTATGGGGCCACGCCTTGTGACGGGTGTGCCAGAATGGCCCGAGGCCGCCATGCGATCCTTGCCACTGGCGCCTTCGCTGGAGCTCCTGTGGGACCACGATCCTCGTGAGGGGTGTGCCGAAATGGCCCGAGGCCGCCATGCGAACCCTGCCATTGGGACCTTCGGTGGAGTTCCCTATGGGGCCACGATCCTCGTGAGGGGTGTGCCGAAATGGCCCGAGGCCGCCATGCGAACCCTGCTACTGGCGCCTTCGGTGGAGCTCCCTATGTGGCCACGATCCTGGTGAGTGGTGTGCCGAAATGGCCCGAGGCCGCCATGGGAACCCTGCCACTGGGGCCTTCGGTGGAGTTCCCTATGGGGCCACGAAGCGCTGTACTGGGTTGGTGAAACGCAGGGTGGAGGGAGGAGGAGAGGAGGAGGAGCGGAGGAGAAGGAGGAGGAGGAGGTGGAGGAGGAGGAGGAGGAGGAGGAGGAGAGGAACGCGGGGCACCGTCTCTTCAAAACGAGGACCCAACACCACAGGATGGTTGGGAAAAACAAGGACGTTGACCTCCTTCCGAGGGCTCCCCCCCCTGCTTCGTGAACCGCTGGCGCCTGCGGGAGGAGGGAGCCCGCAGACGAAAGATCCGCGTGATCCGTGTTGGCATCGCATTCCCAAATACGGAGGAACAAGAAAGGGGCCCTGGCACGCGGCGGCAGCGGGGGCAAAGATCAGGACAGTCATATCCTGCAGCTCGCTGCCGCCCTCGCGGCCAATGGCCTCCCGACGCCACCGGCGACCCAACCGACCACACCCATCTCACCCGCGGACGCGTGCCATAGCAGAACTGGAGACCCCCAAAGACCCCATCGTGATATGCGCAGTCGGACCAGGGGAGATGGAGGAGAGAGGAGGAAGGATAAATGAGAGACGCTGGAGGATAATGAAGGATGGATGAGGAGGAGGAGGAGGAGGAGGAAGGACGAGGAGGAGAAGAGAGGAAGAGGAGGGAGGAGAAGGAGGAGGAAGAGGAAGAGGAGGAGGAGGAGGGAAAAGAAGGGAAGAGGAGGAGGAGGAGAAGGAGGACGGATGAGAAGGAGGAGGAGGAGGAGGAGGAGGAGGAGGAGGAGGAGGAGGAGGAGGGGGGAAGAGGAGGGAGGAGGATAAACACGTGTCGTTGTTTTCGGAGGGTGGCTTGCAAGGGTCAGCGGGCTCTGGTGGCCTCCACCATTCACTCATCGTCCTGCTCATCCAGCTCCTGCTCTTCTTCTTCTTCTTCCTCTTCTTCTTCCTCCTCCTCCTCCTCCTCATCATCATCATCATGTTCTATGAATATTTGCCACTCCCTCCTCCCTCCTGCTGCCCCTCATCTTCCTCCATCCCTGTCCTTATGGAGAACTCCTCCTCGGTGGGGCGGGCCGGGAGTTTCGTCGAGATTTCGTCACCACTTGATCTCTGCCGAACCAGAAGCTTGACCTTCGCAAAATTCATACTGACGAAGGGTGTGTGTGTGTGTTGTCTACTGGGGCCATCGCCTTGGCGCCGCGCACATTCCTTTTCCCACGCGGAGTCCACATGTTTCGACGCTCGCCGTTCGCATCACGAGTCACATGAAAAGAGATCACCAAGTAGATCCGCAACCCCAGTAGGAGGGGGCAAAAGCCGATGCTGTACTGCACAGCGCCGCACCGCCAAGGCCGAAGCATCGCCCCTCGCAGCACATCACCGAATGGGACGTCAACTGCACGCGACGTTAGGGTATCGTCGAACATAGGAGGAAGGGGATGGGCAAGAAAGAGGAGGAGGATGAGGAAGAGGGAATGAGGAGGAGGAGGAGGATGAAGAGGGAATGAAACACAGCATCCCTTTTGTGCGTACACCGTCGGGGCTCTGACCTCCTCGGCATTCGCCCACCTGCCCTCACGGGACGAGCTAGAAAGAGGGGCGGAGAAGAGGAGGGAGGCGAAGGCGAGGCGGGAGAGGGAGGAACACAGGAGGCAAACACACGGCGAAGCACGCAGACGTTGCGAATCTCAAGCGGCATGCAAAGTGAGATGCATTCCAGTGACGATGAGGAAGAGGAGGAGGAGGAGAAGGAGGAGGAGGCGGATGAGGAGAATGAGGAGGGGGAGGAGGAGAACAAGGAGGAGAAGGAGGAGGAGGAAGAGGAGGAGGAGGAGGAGGAGGAGGAGGGGAAGGAGGAGGAGGAGGAGGAGGAGGAGGAGGAGGAGGAGTGCCCCCTCCTGCCTGACCCCGGTGACCGACTCTGCAGCGGACCCCTGGGAGGCCGCCCGGACGGCCTCTCCGGCGGAGGCCGCCCACGGACGGCCGCGTGGCCGAACGGACCGGGTGGAGGTCCAGCAGCGGTGGGGCCGACGTGCACCAAAGGAACATCTAGGGCGGGGGGGAGGGGGAGGGAGGAGGGAGGAGATGGAGGAGGGAGGAGGGGGAGGAGATCGGGAGGGAGAGGGGGAGGGAGAGGAGATCTGGAGGAGGGGGGGGATGCACCAAAGGCGGGAGGAGGGAGAGGAGGGAGAGGAGGATCCGACGCGTCGGGCCCTCGAGGCCCAAGAGCCTGCCCAAGAGAAGAAATGGGACGGGGGCAGAGGGAGGGAGGGGAGAAGAGGAGAAGAGGATAGGAAGAAGAGGGAGGGGAGGGGAGGAAAGGAGGAGGAGGAGGAGGAGGAGGAGGAGAAGAGGAGAAGAGGATGGGAAGAAGAGGATGGAGAGGAGGGGAGGGAGAGGACGGAGGCGGAGGGAGGGAGGGATGCAAAGGCCCCACAGCTGCAGGGATGGAGGGGCGGCGGTTCTCAAGAAGGTCGGGCTGCCGCCTCGGCGCCGCGCGCCGTGGTCCCGAGGCCTGCTCTCCACAGTTCTGTGTGGTGGGCGGAGGGCGGCTCCTCTTCAAGACGGGGCTCTCGCCGTGGCGCCGCGCGCTCTCCCCTTGAGAGACCGCGGGCTACCTCCTCCTCCTCCTCCCCTCCCTCCTCCTCCTCCTCCTCCTCCTCCTCCTCCTCCTCCCTCCTCCCCTCTCTCCCTCCTCCTCCTCCTCCTCCTCCTTCCTCTCCTCCTCTCCTCCTCCCCCTCCTCCTCCTCCTCCTCCTCGTCCTCCTCCTTCACAGAGGTACACCGCGCCCCGTTCTCAAAGCGGGGCTCTCGCCTGAACTTGACGCCGCGCGCTCCTGCGAACGACTGGTACAGTCAACCAGTACAGCAAGGATGCGCGATGAGGATGCAGGGCCCTGGACGCCCATCTCGAAGCTTTGCGAGCGAGGCGCGGCCAGCGAAAGCGGCGAAGGATGGACGGAGGAGACAAGGATGGCAGGGTACCCTTGGGAAGGCCGCCCATCCTCACTATGCGGGTCGACTGAAACAGCTACACGGATGGAGGGCGGCTGCATCTCAAAAGGGCGCTCTCGCGGGGCAGTCCCTCAAGCTCGAGGGCAAGAAGCCGCAACACAGGCAGCAGCCGCACGGATGGAGAAAGGGCCCCCTTGTCGAAGAGATGTTCTCGTCGTGGGCGTCCTCGGAGTCCATCGCCACACGCAAGTGCCATAGTGTGCACCAGTGACACGGACAGGGGGATCTCTACTCAAAGCGGGCATGTCGCTGGACACCTCCAACTGCACGATCAGACTCGTGCCACGTTCATGGCCATGCGTTAACAGATGCAGAACCTGCGCTTTCAACAACGGAGCTCTCCCCTGGAAGGGAAGCCCAAAAGGTGTTAGTCGTTCACGGGGTCGCATCTTGGAGGGACAGGAAGTCTTGTTGGGACTTCTGAGGGAGGGGCTTGGGACAGGAGGGTGTCTGGCAGCATCGCTCATACGTCTTGGGCTAACTTTGGTCCTTCTCATCCTCCTCCACCTGGTGTTCCTCCTCTTCTTCCTGCTCCCGAATGATTCATCCTCGTAACCGTCTCGCCTTGTCCCTCCACATCCAACTTCTCCTGCTGGTTCCTCTTCAGCCTCCACCTCGTCCACCCACCACTCCCTCACTCTCTCCCTCACCCTCACCGTCACTTCCTCCCTCACTCCTCCTCCTCCTCCTCCTCCTCCTCCTCCTCCTCCCCCCACCTCCTCTCCACCTGCGAACTCAGCCTCTTGCTCGTCCTTTTCCTGCTGCTGCTGACCCAAAAAGTGACACCCTTGCTCCCGAACGCGGCACCTGCAGTGGGGAGGAGGGCGAGCCCAGTGGTGACACAACTCCGCCTGGCACTCGTCGTGATCGGGGTGAGGGTCACTTGGGGTCACCGTATGCTGCTGCTGCTGCTGCTGCTCCTCATCCTCCTCGTCACTCCATCCTCCCTCACCGCTCATCGTCCTCCATCCTCCATCATGTGCATCCTCCTCATTCGGATCGTTATCTTCCTTCCTCCCTCCTTCCCATCCCCCAGGGACAATGCAATCGACCGAAGAAGCAGCATGCGCATTCGGGGCACACGTCAGGACAGCCTTTTGACAGAACACATGAATGCGAATCAACAAGAAGAGCGCGTAGCTTGACCATGACGGCCAACACGACCCCAGTTCTGCAAATGCTCGCGGCTCGACCTGTCCCCAACTTCCTGTTGTGGTGCCCCGCTCCGCGCCCCCCCGACAAGTCAGCAAGAGTGGCGCCTTTCCGCCGCGGAGCGTGTTGCTCGCCATACTGGCAAGGCCTGGTGGGAACCGCGCGTACATACACTGAGGCGTCTGGGCCCTGCCCCGTGGGGCTTCGCAGAAACGCCACAGAACAACGCAGATAGTGTACAGTTTCCTGGCCGGTTCTCCGGGCGACAGGCGTTGTTACAAGACATACAGCCTGTGTTTGGGCCGCCCTGTGCCCCGAAGTGGTGGACAATCATAACATCAGGTCGGGCCCGTCCCCCTACAGGGGGACTTTGGGCGAAAAACTAAACATGCCCCCGAAATACACCAAACATGCTCAAGCATGATCCACAAAACATCCCCAGACATTCTTAAAACTGTGTTTCAACATTCCGCCTGTAGAGGGACAGGGCCGACTTCAACATCACATAGCACTGTCAGGCTGTGGACATGTTCATGGCCCCGACGAAGGATTGCAAAAAAACCCGCGCCGGCGAAGGAAGGATTGCAAAAAGACCTTCGTTCAAGGGTTTTTTTTGCAATCCTTCGTTCAAGGGTTTTTGTTGCAATCCTTCGACGAAGGGTCTTTTGCAATCCTTCGGACACGCGCACCGGTCGCGCGCCGGAGCTTAGCTCCCCGAGGCTCCGGGGCTTCTGGTGCCGCCCGCGCGGTGCACCGCCACGGGCGCGACGCGGAGCCCAGGGCGGTGCGGGGAATCGGGCACGTGGTGGAGGAGGAGGGAGGAGGAGGAGGAGGAGGAGGAGGAGGAGGAGGAGGCGGAGGAGGAGGAGGAGGAGGAGGAGGAGGAGGAGGACGAGGAGGGAGGAGGGAGGAGGAGGGGGAGGAGGAGGAGGAGGAGGAGGAGGAGGAGGAGGAGGAAGAGGAGGAGGAGGAGGAGGAGGAGGAGGACCCTGCCTCAGTAGAGGAAGAGGGAGCGGCACAAGCAGGAGGAGCGGGGACGGGTACGCCACGAGGACAGGTACACGGACACCCTCCGACGAACTTTGCGTGTGCCTCCAGGGAGGGCGGCGGAGCAGAAAGTCGCTGGCTCTCAGTGGTGATTGATACACCGCCACACTCCCCTGATGCCTTGGAAAAATCCATTGGAGGGTGTCCATGTACATTTTGGTGTGGCCGAAGGTGCAAGGCGATGACGCCGCTGTAGGCATGGGTGCCAGTTGACGGACCCCGACGGGGGCTCCCATTCGAGCGGGGACTCCCATCCGACAACACAAACCCCTAGCCCCCACCCCCTGGAATCCCGCATCATCATTCATCATCATCATCATCATCATCATCATCATCATCATCATCATCATCATCATCATCATCATTATCATCATCATCATCATCATCAGCATCATCATCATCATTATCATCATCATCATCATCAGCATCATCATCATCATCATCATCATCATCATCATCATCATCATCATCATCATCATAAGCATCATCCTCATCCTCATCCTCATCCTCATCCTCATCCTCATCCTCATCATCATCATCATCGTCGTGCCGCATTCCTCCTCCTCTTCCTCCTCCGCCTCCTCCTCCTCCTGCTCGTCCTCCTCCTCCTCCTCCTCCTCCTCCTCCTGCCCCCAAGATGATCCCTGGAGGTCGAGCATGGCTCAAGAAAGGCTCCGACTGACCTCCAAGAGGCCTCAAGGCAGCCTCAAACTTTCACAAGATAGCTGAGCATGGCTCTAGATAGCCTACGGCAGCCTCTAGCCGAGCATGGCTCAAGATAGTCTCCAAGAGGCCTCAAGAGAGCCTCCGATCGTGCCTAGATGGGCTGGTGAGGATACGCGAAGCGTCAAGAAGTCAGTGCTTGCACTGCAGAGATCCACGCGGGCGTTTCAAGGATTTGACGCGAAAGTCGACCGCCGATGCTGGTGGGCGCCAGGTCCCCCGGTTCCTAATTCCTCGGATCATGGTTGTGGAGTCTGGTTCGAGGTTCTCGGTTTCTCGGGTTCCTGAGGCCCCGAGGGGGCAGATGTACTGATCATCGCAGGGTGGTGGGTAGAAATGCATCATTTCGAGTAGAGAGCAGCACGTGTAGCGTTACGAGAGTAAAGAGGTAACCGTTCAGTAGAAAGTAGGGGGTAGAGAGCAGAGCGCATCCAGAGGATAGCGGCGAGGATGCTAGAGAGGGCGCGATCAGATCGTATAACATAGATGGTGGATGACAGAAGGAGGAACGCAGAGGGTGGAGACCGGTTGTCGAAAAAGAAAATAGAGCATCCATGCTGGATAGAAACGCATTCGCTATCAATGTCTCGTACCGCATGCTGCCCTTAACACGTATCGCACAAACAGAGGACTGGAGTATGTTCGGGGGCCGCATTTGTATATTTAAATAGCCAAACACCGAATGTATATGTTGATCGACTGGGTGTTGCCGCCCACCGCTCTGACATGTTTGTTAATGGTGCGATATGAGTGGGCTGCTCACACCGAGGTGCATAGGTCTTGCAAATGTCAGGAGCTCAATACTAACATTTGGAACTCAACAGTTGCAAATGCAAGCTGGAAGCCTTAGTAATTGAAGCGTGACTGGGTGGGTCTGGAGAAGCTTGCATGTGCTGGAACCGAACATGAATAGCTGAGAGGCGCGAGCCAGGCTGGGGAAAGTTGGAAGTACCCTCACCTGGGGCGGGGCAAATATAAACGCCCGCACCACCACCTTCTTGCTTCAACTTCCCTGTCGACCCGCACGATATTCATTGCTGTTCATCCTGCGCAGCCGGCGATATGATCAGTCCATCAAACGCCGAACCCAAAGGGGCTCTCGGTTTTGCACTCTCCGGACGAAGGCCAGAGGGGGTGCTCTGTCCATAAAGGGAGCGGGCAGGGAGGAGGAAGACGGGAACAGGGGGAGGCACCGATCAGGTTGATACCGTCAGAGTGAGGGGGCTGAACCGAACAGTCATGCATTGTCCCTGGATGCGTGGCTGAAGTGAAATTCCGCGATGCGGATTCTTGCTGTTGTTGTTTTGGTGTTGTTTGTTTTTGTTTGTGTTGTCGTCGTGTCGTCCCACCCGCGACCCGCCCCGCGACCCACCCGCGACCCACCCCGCGACCCACCCGCGACCCACCCCAAGACCCACCCGCGACCCACCCGCGACCCACCCTGCGACCCACCCGCGACCCACCCCGCGACCCACCCGCGACCCACCCCAAGACCCCCCCGGCGACCCCCCCGCGACCCACCAGCGACCCACCCGCGACCCACCCCGCGACCCACCCCGCGACCCACCCCGCGAACCACCCGCGACCCACCCGCGACCCACCCGCGACCCAGCGCGACCCACCCGCGACCCACCCCGCGACCCACCCTGCGAACCTTTCGGCGCCTGCGGCGGGCTTCTTTTGCATTCGTTCCAGGTGGAGAACCTGCGATCCACCCGCGACCCAGAACGCGCCCGCGACCCACCCGCGACCCACCGCGACCCACCCGCGACCCACCCGCGACCCACTCCGCGACCCACCTCAAATTTTCGGCGCCTGCGGCGGGCTTCTTTTGCATTCGTTCTGGGTGGAGAACCTGCGACCAACCCGCGATCCAAACCGCGTTCAGTGTACAAATCAAAATTTTCGGCGCCTGCGTAGGGCTGTTTTTGAACTCCTTCCAGGAGGAGGAGGAGGAGGAGGAGGAGGAGGAGGAGGAGGAGGAGGAGGAGG